CTTTGGTTTATTCTGCCTACTTGAATAAACTTCTATTCACTTCCACACGTTGTTCATGCTAATTGTGATTATGTTTGTTATCCGTATTGCGTTTGTAGCATTTTTGATTTACTTGTGGATATTTTTACTTATCGGACGTAGGCGTCTGATCCGTATAGCGAGGACGTTCGCCTAAGCATCACGGTGTTGCGAACAAGAAAACATAGGGGATGACCAATAATGGGGGTTGAGCAAACGTGGAATAAAGTGCCTAAACGGTGACGCAGTAATACGTAGTTTGGCAGGTTTAGCTGTTAGCAACTCGGCTCATGGGAGCAGTTCGAGAGAGTGAGAGCAGATTGAGAGAGCGAAGAATCCTTGAGGCATGGATCCATGGGTTGTGTGGGCATAGAGTCTCCCGGTTGCCCAGGCCAAGCAAGAGGGTTGCCTTAGAGGACCCCACCCAGAGCTTTGGGTCAGAAAGACCTAACCGGAAAGGCGGCGGGGCGAATGACTTATACCGCGACCGTCGGGAGCCGGCTATCTGAGTGAAGGGCTTTCGAGTACAGACAAACTAATCAGGGCAACCAAAGAGCCCCAGCGAAGCAACAAGTAGGCCAGGATTCTCTGGACTACCGAACTGGCCGCGGAGCACGAATACCTTCAACAGCTGGGTGCTTCATACTCCTTCACAGAAACCGGTGGTCATCGAGGTTGTTCATCTGTCCTCCGTTAAGTACTCCCTTCTGTGACCAGAAATGAGTAGTCAGTGACCCTATAACCGGTCACATTGGCTTTGACACAGCGTCTTGCGTGATCTTGTGGTATTTAATGCGCAACAAGATGACTAGCTCAGAACCCGCACTCTGTAGGACGCTGCGTCAGACTGCCCGCGACTGCTTCCTCTTCTTCTCGCCCGTGAACATCCGAGACTTATACACAGGTACTTTTTGCACATTGCTTCAGATCGGTCAAAAGGCAGCACTTGCCCGAACATTGGAGACCCTATAGATCGATATCTGCTGCTTGTCGGAAACCCGCCTGCAACACTCGAGCTCTGTACTCACTCCGCGATCCCCTTCAGGTGACTCTGGCAGCACTTTCTCATTGCGCCTATCCGGTTACAATGCAGCTTCGAGCACCGGCCAAGCCGGTGTGGTATTGTCCTGAGTCCTCGGGCTGAAACTGCTCTGGTTGATTGGATTCCAATCAGTAGCCGGATGTGTGCGGTCCGATTGGCTGGCTCGTTCAAAGCTTCGAAGTCGCGTGTGACTAACAGGTGCCTATTCGTTATCGCTGCCTATGCACCGATAAACTGTAGCGATGACTAGGTAACAGACGACTTCTTTCGCCAACTGAACGAACTCCTTAGCCACAGAAGAAGCTCGGACACTGTAGTGCTGGCTGGGGATCTGAACGCTCAAGTTGGAAAATTATCCACAGATGAGCTGCATCTGGGCGGCCAACATGGTATAGGCTCCCGTAATGATAACGGTGAGCGGTTACTTCATTTGTGTGAAGATGCTCGCTTATTTCTTGCGAGCACTAATTTCAGACACAGCACCCGCCGGAGTGTGACTTGGCGCCCACCAGCCTCAAAACAGCCATGGACGCAAATCGATCACATTGCGATAAGTTACCGATAGAGAGGCTACGTCCAGAACTGTCGCTCGATTTGGAGCACAGATGTGGACACCGACCATGCACTTGTACGTGCTGACATGCGGATACGCTTTGGCGGAGGCCAACGACGACGTTGCGAGCGCATTGACACCAGCCAACTGGCGAAGCCAGCTGTTCTGAATGCCTATCAAATTACGCTATCATGTGAGTTGGATAAACGCTCACTGGATGCAATTGAAGCTCACTGGTCTCATACGCAACAAGCCTTACTAGCAGCAGGCAAATCCTCGTGTGGTATGTCTAATCGCCAACATGGACATTGGGTCTCTTCACAGTCTTTGGAACTTATAGATGCTCGCCGGCATATTCCGGCTGGAAGCGAACACAATGAAACTCGCAAAGAGCTCCGGACAAAACTCCGTGCTAGCCTGAAGAGAGACCGCGAATCCTGATGGTCTAATTGTGCAACAGAGATGGAAATGGCCGCTGCCCCTGGTAACCATCGTGAGTTATTCCGTCTGATACGTGAAACGGGCAACAGGAGACCTGGTGTCAGTGAAATTATACGTGATGAGAGTGGACAACCTATCCACAACTTAGCAAAACGCTTGGAAGGTTGGGCTGAGCACTTTGAAGGGCAATCTAATCGGTCGGAATTTTTAGATTTCTCGCCGACCAGTGATCGCCCTGCTCCGTGGGCTGTTCCTTTGGATCCACCCTCTCGCTCAGAAGTCGAACATTAGATCGAACAGTTGAAGTTAAACAAAGCCGCTGGACCTGATGACTTTCCTCCACCCCTCTTCAAATTTGGTGGACCTGCTCTCGTGGAGGATTTACACGCGTTACTAATGAGACTGTGGGAGCAGGAAACTGTCCCATCCAATTGGAGCCGCTCCATCATAGTCCCCATTTTCAAAGGAGGCTCCCGATCGGAATGCGGCAGCCAAAGAGGAATCAGTCTGATATCCATCGCCTCCCAATTTCTTGCCTCTCTCATCCTTCACAGACTGACTGGCACTTGTGTAAGCCAGGCTCGTGAAGAGCAAGCTGGATTTCGTCGAGCTCGTGGCTGCATTGACCACATCTTCACCTTGTGTCAGTTGTTGGAGCACCGCCAAATATATTGGCGGCCCACCGTTGTCGTGTTCCTCGTTATCAAAGGTGCATTCGATTCGGTGGATAGACATGTACTTTGGGACTGTCTACTCAGGAAAGGTGTACCTGAGAAATATGTGAATATTCTCCGAGCATTATATGCGCGTAGCTCGGGCAGAGTGAGGGCTTACGGCAAGTTGTCGTCGCTCCTTAATATCTCCAGCGGCGTGAGACAAAGATGCCCGCTGTCACCTTTCCTCTTTAACTTCGCTGTTGACGAATTCATGGAAATCGCATTCCCAGGACACGACTTAGAGGGTGTGGAGCTACTCCCAGGAAAACGACTTCTTGACTTAGAGTATGCTGATGATATCGCCCTAATCTGTGACAGCTCACAAATGTGCCAAGCGGCACTGGACAGATAAGCACTAGCTGTCCGTCACCTCGGGCTTTGCTTCGCACCCTCGAAGTTCAAAGCGTTTCTCCAAGATTGGTCTGAACCGCCTCCTACGCTGACCCTTGGTGGGGATCAGCTAGAGGTGTTCAAAAATTCAACTACCTGGGAGGTTTTATCAGCCCCGTGGGATTGAAGATGAGATCACGAATCGTATAGCAAAAGCTAGAGGCGCTTCCGCTAACCTTCGCCACTTATGGCGCCGGCGCGACATCACTCTCACCCTGAAGAGTAGAGTGTACAATGCAGCGGTACGTTCGACCCAACTGTACGGTTATGAAACCTGGCCGCTTAACGCAGCGGACCTGAAGAGGCTAGTTACGTTCGACCACCGGTGCCTTCGTAATTTAGCTCACATTTGGTGGGAACACCGCGTGAGCAACGAGCGTGTTCGACGCCTTGTTTATGGCACAGGAAAAGGAACTGAAGCGATGTAGGCTTACAGAATATTGTTTCTGAACTCTAAGGTCTGGTTTCATCTGGCATATTTCAATAGTTTCAACAAAACGAAGGAGCAAGTGATTAGCGTGACGTATTGCAAGGTTAAACGCTGGGTCCGCAACTAACTTATAACTGGTGAAACATGCGGAAACAATGCCCCGTTTTGCTTACCCCGTCAGGTACACCTTGTGAAATGTAGGCATAGAGTAAGCAACACTTTTCGGCTCCATATGGAGATTGGTATGTGCAATCACATAGTTACACACACCCTCTTCTGCTCCTTTGATAATGTTTGATGTTCGAGAACCAGCTGGAAGGTTGGTTCGTATTGTAACGTGCACTGTAGTTTATACTTGTTAACAACCCCAACATCGTCGTGATTTTCTAGTCGATATATTTTGTAAGTGATGTTGTCCCCGCATTGCACAAGACACTATGTGTCTATATGTCGATAGAACAAGGGCATCCTAAACTTGACGAAAATTTACTGAAGGTTCATACCATTAGCTTGGTCATATTCGGTGGGTTGTACCAACTGGCAGTTGAGGCGCACGTTACTTCGGAGATAGTTCCAGTTCCACGTATAATTATGTAGATACTCCAGCACAGCCAATCTGTCACGTTGTCGACTTTACTCGCCCAGAAACACCGTGATGTTGTCTCCCTGTGGAAGGACAAAGAGGTATTAATCTAGGATGTAAGAAAGAGCCCAACTTAAATATCTGAATAAATGGACGTTTTATTTCTGGACGGTGTGACGCACAGTCCAGCTGTGTGGCCTGAACGATCTGTACCACGAGCTCGCTTAACATAACCTATTGTGCATGTTTTGTATAACAATTCCCAAACGAGTTTTGAAGTGAATGACAGTTCGCAAGTATCAGAGTGATAAAGAAACCGGGAACAATAACAGACTTAGACAAAAGTTCAATTAAAGTAATACGGCCAGTCATACAACCGTCCCCAGCGGACCTGCTTCCATGCGGGGTATTGGCACATTAGGTTTCACCGAGCTTCGTGCTCCAACTGGCTATGTGCCGATGTGACAAAATAGCATGTAAGCCATCATATAGTTAACAAAAGTGTTTTCTAGGTGAAGTTTAATGCATGCATTACACGCGATGAAGCCTCAGCCTATTCCGGCGTGCGGATCTTTCAAGTCTGACAAATTTACTGTTATACGCCAGTGTGTCAGTGGCAGTATCTTTTCCACCGTAATTATTCTACAATATAGCTAGAGGTAAAATCTCCTTACTTAGTGTACAGCAACGCATAAAGCGAAAAATGGAAAAATATACAACATATGCATGCCAGCTGAGCTACCAGTAACGGATGGGCACCGTTCCAGAAAGCTACCAGCCGGCAACTACGCAGCAAAAAATATTTATTATGCAAAAAAATATTAGGTTAACAAATGAGATCGTGGTTGGAAACGGATCCTAAGAGCGTTGTCAGTCGGATACTGCAATTGCACTAGACCTAACTAGCCGTCATCGTCTCCGAGCGAATCGCCTCCGATGAATCGATCAAGTTCAAATTTGCTCCACTCTCTGCTTTATGATTCACTATACAATATCTGTGGGATTACAATGACTTGTTCTTCCTGTCGACGATCCACACAGAGAACCGGAACGATTCTGCACAGTGCAGAGCAACAAAACTGCCTGAAAGCACCACTTCTCTCATGGTGCATCGCAACATATGGAATGGTGCAACATTCGAGAACACCGCATCCGTTTTTCTCAGAGCGTCAGTCACATTTTCGTGGGACGTGCGAATAGCGGGGGCAACAATTTTCTGCTCCACATGGAGGCTGGTGTATGCAATCACGATGTTAGAAACGGTCTTCTGCACCTTTGGTAGTTTTGGATTTTCGCGGACTAGCCGAAAGGTTGGTTCGTATTGAAACGAGCATTGGAGTTTAAATTTGTTCACAACGCCGGCGTTGTCGTGCTTTTCTATTCGATGTATATGATACGTGATATTATTCCTACCTTGAAGCGAATGCCATGTGTCCACACGCTGATATGGAACCTGCGTCTCCATGTTGATGAATATGTACTCAAAGTGAATCCCAGTGTAATTATCATATCCCGTGGGTATCACAAACCGGCAGTTGACATACACGCTGCCTGGGAGATAGGTCCTGTTCAACACATCCTTATGTGGATACTCAGGCACATTCAGTCTGTCGCGTTGCCAGTGTTGCCCGCTGAGGAACACCGTGATGTTATCCTCGTGTGGAAGAACAGATAGGTCGTAATCTAAGATCTGTGCAACAGCGCCACTTTGCGTCTTGCAATTGTATATGCCGGTATCGTGCGGCTCAAAATTAATGAGTTCCATCGCACCACTTTTCCAGTTGCACTTTATTCGATCTTGCTCCGAGGATGTATCCTCCAATCGGAGCTTCTTTTCACACCTTTCTAAATTCCGACATGTCCTCATATGCGCAGTTCAGAACTGGAGATTTTCACCAACTCGATACACGGCTTTGCGAGCCGATTTAATATTTAATAACCGCATTGCAGGAGTACGCCATGATGGATACGGAAACCACTCCAGTTTACCTACCATAATACTCTTTGCAGCGTCAATGATTGGAGTCAGTGCATCGTTCCCGAACTGCCGATGAGGTTCCGCGTCAGTTATAACAAACAGAACGGCATCCACCGGAAAGGGCACGACTAGATTACTGTTTGCATCGAAAAGTCGGTTCTCAAGTTTCCGATTAGTGTAGACCATTTCGGAGAATAATCCATGGAATTTGCTTTTGGTGAATCTATATGCACCGACTTTCCCTGGATGCACACTGTATTCCATCGAGTTTGGTTGCGTGTGAAAGGCAATTATTTTTAAGATATGTTCGGGTGCCATCCATCAGGTCAGCTGGAAGTTCCATTCCTCCTGGTCCGATTTGTAAAACTTTTTTTCGTGAAAGCTGTCGAAATCTATGGTATGGCTTTCTGGAATCTGCTGCGCAAGTATGAGTTTGGTATATGTACAAGCCACACCAGCGAAACTATCTCAGGGCATGGTACGAACGTTGCTAGTTCGGAGAAAGTGGTAGTAAAATACTTCGGTCCATTGGAAGTCTGGAAATACACATTAACCACGGCACCGGTTCCCTCTAGCTTCTGTGTGGATAGTTCGGTACGCACTTCATAACGCAGCAGTTTGTGATTACTGGTGCTTTGCACCATGTCGTAGAACAGCACACGGTCACATGTGGTAGAATGTCGACTTGTATGCAAGTCACAGCATTCAAAATATACGGCAGCTTGGTAATCGCACATGAACACAGTACCGTTTACAGGACTGTAAACTTTGAATTGTGTTATTTGGACATCTTGAAAAATGCTGAATGACATGAACAAGGTGCCATCAAGATGCGTTGATTGTTGTTCTTCTTTGATCCATTTTGTGTATTCCTCACGTGGGTTAAACTCTGGCCGGTTGTATGGATGATCATAATGCGGAATTTGTTCACACGGTGCGCCAGAGGCAACTGCCCGAAGAGCAACTGCGCAAACGAATAATATCTGCATCGTAACCGTACGTGTCACTGGTAGTGTGTGATATCCCACATATGCCGTTATCCTCCGTGTCGAAGGATATTGATTTATTCAATGAGGAAGGCTAATCAAATTATTGGCGTGTATGTGCTACTGGCAGAGCAGACAAAGTGTCCATTATACCGTTCCAGCTGGAGGAATATGGGCGGTTAGTAGTCAATTGGCTAACTATCTGATCTCTGAGAACTACCTGGTGTCGATAGAGTCTCTGTGAGTCGATATTGGATTTAGAATAGCCGCCGTGTTGTAGGATTAACACATACAATCTCTATTAAAATGTCATCGTCATTTTTCATTGTACACGTTTGATGCAGGTGGAAAACTCCTCAGCTATGACGTTGTAATAGAAAAGAAGAGAAAAAATATGGAACAGAGCCACGCCTGTTGCGTCACCAGAACGGATGAGCATCGTCCCTCAGAGCTACCAACCGGCTGTTGTGCAGCAAGGTAGTAATATTTTCCTTAACAACTGAGGTCGTGTTTGGAGAGGATGCTAAGCGGGAGGGGGACAAAGAACTTCACAACACAAATGCCATTGAGGTCGGCTCCTAGCCATATCAACAAATCTATCCAGCCAAACGTGTCCATTGTCCGAGAGGCTCCAACCGAGGTCAACGTCTAATTAAGGGCCTCTCACACGGTGTTCCCACCGGATATGAGACAAACTGTGAAGGAACCGGTGTCGAACGCAACTAGCCTCCTTATGTCTGCTGATCTAATGGGCCAAGTCTCTCAACGGTACAGTCTGGTCGAACGCACAGCCGCATTGTGCAATCAACCTTTAAGGAAAGAGTGATGTCGCGCCACCGTCATTGGTAGCGAAGGCTAATAAAAGCGTCTCGGGCTTTCGCTATAAGTATGATGACCTCGTTTTCACTTAAAACGATGCTGTTACAACTGCCTAGATAGTTGAAATTTTGAACGAATTCCAGCTGATCCACACCAACGGCCCTCGAAGAACGCGGTCAAAGCCAAGGTTGTAGAACAGCATTGAAATTCGACGGTTCAAAACATAGCCTCACAGTACATACAGAATATACATATATATATATACATATACATATATATATATATACGTATATATATGTGTATATATATGCCTAATGCCTTTCTTTCTCATATAAAAGTCTGGTGGGCCATGAGCCAGGTCCTTGGGGCCACTACAGAAGCGACGACGGGTCCTGCAGAGAATTACGACGAGCCGGCGCAGCGTTTGTAGGCACGTTGAATTCGATTTACTAACCGCGTGCTTGCATGCTAAGTCTCTTTATTTCAGGTGGTGGGTTTACAGTTTGTGCATTAATGCTTTTCTCTCTCATATAAATGTCTACCAGTACTCTATTCCAATAACTTGCACACAACGCCTAAGCCAATTGTATTCGACTTCCATAACATGTTTGTGTTCGTGGCATTCCGTGCACTATACTTCCTGACCTCGTGCACTTAACTAGGGTCTGTTTGTAAACAACTTATTACATATGCTATTTACTTAAGGTTTATATCACCGTTTCCTTATGCATTAATCGAGTTTTTCTATTTTTCTTTTTCTTTTTCTCTCTCTCAAGTGTTTGGCTGTTGTTTGATATCCCCGGTGTGGATGCGTTTGATGTGCATGTTGACAAGGTGCCTACCTGTATATTACCCACTACCTCGTCCATACTGGCTCCAGGAGACAGTTGGTCGTTGCTGGAGGGGACAGGGTGCACGGTCCTTGTGGCCGTGCTAGGCTCGAAGGGTGGTTCCATGCAGTCAGTGTGGAGCGGACTACGGTCCAGCCACCACCTTTTGTGCGCTTGATTCCCCAACTACAGCTTGCTTGCGTTTGTCTGTTAAGGAGTGTGGGCCGGCTCCGTTGATGAAACGTGGTTCCCATCCACATGCCTCCCGGTCTTATTCCTTCGGGTTTACACTGGATATGGTGTGTGTGGTTGGAGCTGTGAGTGGTGCAGCGCAAGCCACCCGTGGACCCTCTGTAGGCGCAAGCGTCCTGTGGCTTGCCACCGTGACAGGCCAATCCGAAACCGGATGCCGCCAACCATGTTTAAAGTACCGAGGGAGAGAATGTTAAATTTACGCCGATTCACGGCGCGGGTGCAATACGTAGATTTACGAAAATATATGTACAGTTTGGTCCGAACCAACTTGTGATCAATGCCACAGTCAGTTCCACGTAGTACACGTGTCATGCGCACTTCACGCATATCACGCTGACGTACGATGATATAGTCGAGCAGGTGAGCGTGACCATTCCGTGGATGCGTCCAAGTTGCTATATCACTCGCACTCAGTGCAAACCGAGTGTTTGTGATCGTCAGGCCGTGAGTGGCAAACAGTGAGAGTAACGTGTCGCCGTTCGCATTCGCTGAACCAATGCCCTGCGGACCGATGACATCTGTCCGCTCTGATGCATCACGCCCAACGCGCGCGTTGAAATCACCCAGCAGAAGTAGTCGGTCGTTGCTCGGCACAGACCGTATCACGGAGGATAGCTCAGTGTAGCATTGATCACGCGTGTCATCAGGATAACACATGGTCGAACCGTACGTGCTTATAAAAGTAGCAAACTTACCTCTTCCGAGTCGTTGGCAAACAGTCATCAGTGGCGCGCTGATGCCCGTTGGTTCACCCACCAGCTGGCCATGGAGGCGATCGGATATTGCAAATCCGACCCCACGTTCACGTGGGGCTGAGGCGGAGTTCCCCACCCAGAAGAATGTGTAGCCAGCACCTGCTTCATGTAACTTACCTTGCTCAGCGAGCCGAGTTTCACTGAGCGGAGCAATATCGATGTGGTAGCGCGCCAGCTCCATCGCGACCAGTGCAGTGCGTCGCTCGAGGCGCTCGCTGGAGTTCCGGTTCAGTAATGTGCGCACGTTCCAGCACCCGATGTTGAGTGCTTTGCGCGCAGGCATACGATTGCATTGGTGGGCAATCGCACGCGAGGTGGTCGCTGTGCTTCGGAGGTTTGCTTGAGGGACTCCACCCGGAGCCTTTGGCTCAATAGCCTGACCCACAGTGCAGTGGGTGGTTTGGAGCTTTGCTTGAGGGACTCAACCCGGAGCCTTTGGCTCAATATCCTGACCCACAAGGCAGTGGGTGATTCGGAGGTTCGCTTGAGGGACTCCGCCCGGAGCTATTGGCTCAATAGCTTGAACCACAAGGCAGTGGAGAGCAGATCCAGCTCGGGAATGTGATTGAAGAGACAGATTGGGATCTGCTTGACAGTCGTCACACGCAGACTTTGAGGTTCTGGAACAATTATCATATGTTTTGCGACCGTAATTGGATACGCACCTGCGACCACGGCCAGACGCAGGTGGGTTTTTGGCGGGTTTGCACCAATTTGACCAGGGGCTGCCTGGCTTGAGGCGGGCAGTAGCAAACCATTGAACACCCGGAGGTGTCCTCCCACCGTCAGAGACAATGCGTGGCTCTCGTGCTCTACGCCAATCGAGCTGTGAGATTATAACCTGTAAACCTGTTGTCTCCCATGGTTAGGTTTTACGGGAAGAGGGCCATGGACCGTTTCCTAACCTCCGGAGTGGATGGACTAGGATACTACCATGGCGCCCAATCCTGACAGGAGAACGACTCAGGTCCTCAGCCAAATCTTTCGATCAAATGTACACCCGAAATTTAGCGGGTCTATCAATGGTCAGTTGGCTGACTCATGCGGATTGGTGTCCTGGATCTTAGCAGGGAGAAGGGTGAAACCTAACTCCCACCCAGCGGTCGCCACGAGGAGGCGCCTAGGACATTAGCATATGGCGCAAAAGTAGCAGCAGTGGGTAGACCATCTGTCAGGATCTAGCCACCACCAGCCTCAGCGCACCATAGGCGAAACGTACTGAGCTGGAGAAGGCGATGGCTGCACGCCTGTGTGGTGATGTGGACTGCATAGCCACAGTGGGCGACCTGTGGCACCACATTCGCGACCAGGTGACAGCTGCTGCAGAGGAGACCATCGGGCGCGCAAACTGTAAACGGCCTGATTGGTTTGATGACAACAATGTGACGATTGGCGCATTGGTGTCAGAGAAGAATGCAGCATTTGCTGCACATGTGGTAGACCCCTGTGATTGGGGAAGAGTAGTCAGTTTCGCAAACTTCGACGGCGACTGACCCGAGAGCTCCGTCGCATTAAAAATGCATGGTGGACGGAGAAGGCGAAGCAGATGGAATGCTACGCCGAACGCCGCCAACACAAGAAATTCTTTGACTCCTTGAAGGTGGTGTATGGACGGGGATTGGAGCCGCTGAGGACACTGATCGATGGTAGTTCAGGCGCTACCTGCACCCAGACTGCAGACATAATGCAGATCTGGCGAAATCACTTTGACTGTCTCTTGAACAACCGTCCAGAGATCGACTGGCCTACATTGAACGGCCTCAAGCAGCACGATGTGAAGGCGGATCTGGCGGATACGCCGAGACTGGATGAGACGCAGAGAGCACTTGCTCAGCTGCGAAACGGCAAATGGGCCGGAGGTGACGGGATCCCACCTGAAGTATTGAAACACGGTGGTCCCGCATTGTTGACTGCGCTGCACCATTTGGTGCAACGTGTATGGATTGAGGAGGAGGTGCCTCCTGAGCTGAAGGATGCCCTTGTGCTACCACTGTACAAGGGTAAAGGTAGCAAGCAATGTTGAGCGAATTATCCTGGCATCAACTTGCTGCGTTGTGTGAACAAGGTGATTACCCGAATCCTGCTCAATCGCCTCGTGAGTCAGATTGTGGAACCAAACGTGGCGGAAGAGCAATGTGGATTCCGTTTGGGTCGCAGCACTATAGATATGGTGTTTGCAGCTCGTCAGTTGCAGGAGAAGTGCAGAGAACGACACCAGCCATTGTACTCACTTTTTGTTGATTTCACCAAAGCATTTGATACGGTGAACCGCGAGGTATTGTGGCTGGTGTTGGGTAAGTTTGGTTGCCCGCATAAGTTTGTAAGTTTAATTGAATGTCTGCACAGTGGTATGCGAGCGCGCGTGCAGCTGAGTGGAGAGACCTCGGATGACTTTGCAGTTTTCTCTGGTGTGAAGCAAGGCCGTGTCTTAGCTCGTGCCCTTTTTTATATCTATCTTCATGCAATGTTATCTTGTGCTTTTGATGCGGCTTGTGCTTACGGTGTTCGTGTGGAGCACCGTATTGATGGTGGGCTGTTGAACATCCGTCGTTTCGGTGCCAAAACCCTAGTCTGTGAGACAACTATCCGTATGTTGCTGTTTGCTGACGACTGTGCGTTGTTTGCACACAGCGCGGATGAGTTGCAGCACATGACTAGTGCTCTGGCTTCGACAGCGGACAAATTCGGGCTCACCATCAACACAAGCAAAACTGTCTGTCTCTTTCAGCCTTCACCGGAGGTGCAATCTTCAATATTGCCGCAAATCAGCATTGGTGCTGAAGTATTGGAAACCACCTCCCGTTTCAGCTACCTTGGGAGTGTGATATCGACTGATTAGCAGCTGCACATTGAGCTGCGTATCCGCGTGTCGAAGGTAGCGGTGGTATTCGGGAAGCTTGAGGATCGAGTGTGGAACAATTATCAGCTTAGCATTGGCACAAAGCTGTTAGTGTACAAGTCCATAGTGCTGTCCGTTCTTCTATACGGCAGTGAAACGTGGACGATGTACCGTCGGGATGTGCGATATCTCGAGCGGTTCCATCAGCAGTGTCTGCGACGAATTTTGCGGATCGGCTGGGGCGATAGAGTTGAAGACACTGAAGTTTTGCGCCGAAGTGGGATGTATGCAGTGGACGGCATACTTTTACTGCGACACCTGAGATGGCTCGGTCATGTGAGCCGTATGGATTCGACGCGAATACCGAAACAACTTTTATACGGTCAGCTGAGTATAGGGAAGCGGCATGCTGGGAAACCAAGGTTACGTTACCAGGACATGATTAAAGTGAGCCTCACACGTTCTAATCTTGATTGCAGATCATGGGAATCGAAGGCGGTTGATCGTGGTGCATGGCGCGATCTAATCACGAAGGCAGTTGCTGAAGTGCAGGAGAAAGCCCTCATTCATGCAGAGAAGAAGCGGCAAGCACCAATGAATTGTACTCCATCGACATCGAGCGCATTGTGCTGTAGAACATGCGGTCGCGAGTGCCTTAGTCAGGCAGGCCTAGTGAGCCATGAGAGAGGTCACTCGGGACCACTGCCGAAGCGCCGACGGGTCCCGCAGTGAACGTAGGCAGCATCGGCGCAGCGTTTGTAGGCACGCTGAATTCGATTTACTAACCGCGTGCTTGCATACTAAGTATCTTTATTTCAGGTGGTGGGTTTTCGGTTCTCTCCTAATGCCTTTCTTTCTCATATAAATGTCTAATGGGCCATGCGCTGTGCCATTTGGGGCCACTACAGAAGCGACGACGGGTCCTGCAGAGAATTACGACGAGCCGGCGCAGCGTTTGTAGGCACGTTGAATTCGATTTACTAACCGCGTGCTTGCATGCTAAGTCTCTTTATTTCAGGTGGTGGGTTTACAGTTTGTGCATTAATGCTTTTCTCTCTCATATAAATGTCTACCAGTACTCTATTCCAATAACTTGCACACAACGCCTAAGCCAATTGTATTCGACTTCCATAACATGTTTGTGTTCGTGGCATTCCGTGCACTATACTTCCTGACCTCGTGCACTTAACTAGGGTCTGTTTGTAAACAACTTATTACATATGCTATTTACTTAAGGTTTATATCACCGTTTCCTTATGCATTAATCGAGTTTTTCTATTTTTCTTTTTCTTTTTCTCTCTCTCAAGTGTTTGGCTGTTGTTTGATATCCCCGGTGTGGATGCGTTTGATGTGCATGTTGACAAGGTGCCTACCTGTATATTACCCACTACCTCGTCCATACTGGCTCCAGGAGACAGTTGGTCGTTGCTGGAGGGGACAGGGTGCACGGTCCTTGTGGCCGTGCTAGGCTCGAAGGGTGGTTCCATGCAGTCAGTGTGGAGCGGACTACGGTCCAGCCACCACCTTTTGTGCGCTTGATTCCCAAATACGGTGTGCTGAGGCTGATGTTGCATTAGTGATGCTTCTTCACCGCAGTTGGGCTAAACCAACTTACACATAAACTAGGTCTTTTTAAGCTGGATAAATTTCATTTGGCTTTATTTGGTTTGTTCTGCCTCCCTGAATAATGTTCTATTAACTGGCCGCGTTGCTTACACTAATTGCGCTTATGTTCGGTAATATTGTTGCGCTTGTAGCATTTTTAAGTAACTTGTGGACATTTCTTACTTATCACGGATTGGTTGCTAAACAAATTAATTCATTTGGTAATTTAGCGAAGAGTTATGTCACCGTATCTGTATGCATTATTGGATTTATTTTATTCCAGCTTGTCGTTAAAAGTGAATGGCTGTTGTTTGATATCCCTGGTATGGTGCACCTGATGTGTATGTTGACAAGGTGCCTACCTGTCTATTACCCACTACATCGTTCATACTGGCTCCAGGAGACAGTTGGTCCTTGCTGGATGGGACAGTGTGCACGGTCCTTGTGGCCGTGCTAGGCTCAAAGAGCGGTTCCATGCACTCAGTGTGGAGCGGACTACGGTCCAGCCACCGCCTTGTGTGCGCTTGCTTTCCCAAATACAGTGTGCTTGTGTTTGCCTGTGAAGGAGTGTGGGCCGGCTCCATTGATGAAACGTGGTTCCCATCCGCATGCCTCCCGGTCTTATTCCTTCGGGTTTACACTGGATATGGGGTGTGTGGTTGGAGCTGTGAGTGGTGCAGCGCAAGCCATCCATGGTCCCTCTGTAGGCGCAGGCGTCCTGTGGCTTGCCACAGTGACAGGCCAATCCGAAACCGGATGCCGCCAACCATATTTATACATCAAAGGCTCAACAGCCTGACCCACAAGGCAGTGGGGAATAGATCCAGCTCGGGAGTGTG